ACTATTTCTATTTAGCAATCAAGAAAACAAACAAGTATACAAACAAATAAAGGGAACAAAGAAACGACAAAGCTAAATTTTTTTTTTCGTGTCTAGATCAGGATTTTTGTGTCAAAATAGGTTTTTTATTTCTACTCAGGGTTAAAGTCATGTTCGGAAAATAGAATCTGAATTGGGTTATAATATTTCTGTTTTATTCACTTAATTATAAGACGGTAAATTAAATTGCTTTTTTTACATTAAGTGTAGATATTAATTATCCATACTATTTATTCATAAGGGCATTAATTTTATTTCTTCCCTGATTTAGTAGCCATATTTTTAATCTTGATTTGAATAGATTAATAGAATTTAGAGTTTTTATACTAGGTGGTAGCTCATTGTGTATGTTTGGACTAATATATGTAAAATATATTTGTGCTAATGAGCTCGGGAGAGTGCCTGTTAGAGTTTTTTGTTTGGTGTAATGCTCATGTTGGATGGGTTTAAGGGTGTCTTTTTTCTTGTATTGCCTTATGGCGATGCTTTGCACGTCTGATGTCAAAAATTTTAGATTCTTCAAACAATAAATCAGTTGGATATAATCGGTTTTTGTTATATATAAGTTTTAGTATCCATTTTTGAATATTCTCTAATATTTTAAGATGAACATCAAGTACACCACCCCAAACTATTATCTCATATGTTAAATGTGGCTGCACAAGCGCTAGATAAAGTATCTTTAAATAGGGAATTTCAAAATAATATTTCAGTTCTTTGAAATTGCGTATTAGACCTCTTAGTCTGTTGCTAATATAGTTGGTATGCTCATTCCACTTTAGATGAGAGTCTAACATGACGCCTAGGTACTTTATTTTAAACTTGGATTTTATTGAGATAGTAGTAGTTGCGTTTATTTGAATGAAGATTTCATTATACTCTGGAGGGAGTCGCGGTAACACCCATAGGGCATGAAATAAGTTTTCTCAAAGTTAATGGTAAGGATATGGTTACTGTACCATTGAAAATTTTTTTGAAGATCAATTTAGACAATTATTTGAAGTGTTTTCCTACTTTTTTCTCTGTAGATTATTGCAGAATCATCAGCAAAACATACTAGTTCCCCAGAAGAGCCGATGTTGAACACATTATTTATATAAAGTATAAACAATATCGCCCAATAATTAATACGCCCAAAACGATACCCTGTGGAACCCCGTATTCAACCTCAGCCTCTGCACTTGTAGTTTCACCAATTTTTACGCTTTGGGTGCGGTCACACAAATAACTTTTAAACAGTTTGAGAGCTGTGCCTCTTATACCAGAATTCTCAAGTTATCAAAGTCAATTCTTTCAAGTAAATTCTCAGTTAAATGTGTATCTTTTTATTACCGTTGAGTGTTTTACTCTACACCTCCGTCATACATCGGATCTCCATCTAATTTTTGTTAAATTAACGAAAGATATATCACAGCCACCTAGATTTTTCAAATAATAAAGATCTGACGCAAAATAATAAAAAATAAAATATCTAGGAGAATCGTTGTCTGAGGACATCGGATGAGGATCGTTGTAGGCAATCTTATTAATATTTTGAAGATTACAACGAAATTTACGGTTCATTTTCACAAAATGTGAAATATATCAAAATCATTACAGTTTAAACATATGCTTCTTTAATAAAACTCACCTTTGTTTTTTTTTCTAGAATTAAAAAATTAATTAATATGTAAGGTGTTCCATTATCAAAAACACAACTTTGATGTGTTACTTTTTTTGGGGACACCCTGTATAACTCTATATATTTTTTAAAATGCTTTCAATTAACCTATATATGCTCCCAAAATTTCATTTCGGTATAAACCATCGTTTTCCTTGGAGACTCAGCGTCGTATTAGAGGCGCCACCTTGTCTGTGTCAATGGGCTCTTTCACAAAAAATAAAATACCCAATTCAAGGACAAAATCTAAAATAGAAGACTATTTTCAGTGTATTTATCAAAAAAAAAATAGTGCCAGGAGATTGAATAATTTTTTTATAGGCTCTCAAAATTGCTTTAATTTGAAATAATTTTAAAGTGCCAATTGATGACGTATGAAAAATACGTCCAATAACATCGCAGAAAGACGCTCAGCTCGTGCGTGCTCAAGTCTAAACGCACCATTACATGCTCTGTTCCAAATTGTCACGGGAATAGAGGGGGTCCCAAGGTTTCTGCTTTTATATTCCCCAAAAATGACGAGCTTCGTAAAAAATGGTTGACAGCTATTAAAAGAGATAATTTCACTCCTACTAGTAGTTCTCGGGTAAGAAGTGCATTAAATATGTCTCAAAAAGGCCAAAGGCCAAAGCCTCTGTTACCCTAGTGAGTATGTAGTTATGGCTACTGCTTACACTTACCTCACTATAAGTAAAATATTGGAAGAAGAATCAAGCTTTTTACATCAGAAAGATCACAGAAAGATACTGACAACATTGACATTTGAAAATATAAATGGCCTGGATGTAAGTCTTTTTTTTAGGTCACAATTGCCCCTCACATACGTCAGAATTTATTATTAAATCCATCTTGTTCAGAATATCCAATATTTTATTCAAAAATTATGCAAAAAAAGGAATGACGTCTTTAACACAAAGACAATGCCCTATGTAAAGAGAAAGAGTAAAGAAAACTAAGCTAAGCGTAAGTTTTATTTACGAACCCCCAAAAAGGTTTTTTTTTCTATATAAAATCTTAAAACACATATATTTTTTAGTTATCCTCACCTATATTATAGTTTAAATTTATTCCCATTTGTGTAATGCTGCAAAACATAGAAAAAATATTCCATATTTTTTGACCCAAGCCAGTGTAGTTTATAATTCCAAGAGCATTTACCAAGGGTTTTACTAAGACAAGTAACTTCCTATACTGTCCATACTCCATAATAGTATATATTTATCAAACGTTCAGTAAATTCTAAACTATGGTAGTTGTTAAGTGTTTGCAATTGAATATTTAGTTTATATTGCTATTTTCTGTCATATGTTTCTGGTTATTTCTTTTTCCGATGATTTTGAACACCCTATATATGCTACCTCAAGTTTGAATATTTTAACACTACCCATTTTCTGAGAAAGCAGACCTTTTTATAAAAAGTAACTAACTGATGTTTTCATAAAAGTAATAATACAAAAAATTCCATACTTATGTGGAGAACTTTAGACTCCCTGTATATTAAAAAATTAGTGAAATATTACGTAATCTAACTCGACATTTGTGTGAAAAATGTCTATTTGGAAATAAAACAGGTTTTAAAATACGCGCCAAATAACGCACTTCTATCTCCGCCATTTTGGAAAAGGTTGAATGGGATTTTGTGGAGGTGGTGGTGGGTCAGCATGGTGGCCCGGCCTTGTTGCCGCTTTTCAACATGTCAGGTGTGACGTATTAAAAATAAAGTGCGGATTTTTATTCTGGGCTTTTTTGTTTTTATTTATTTTCTTAAGAACGACTTCAAATTTTTCGAAAGTGAGATAGCAGAAAATTCTAGAATTAATTGCTTTATTCAATTATGCTAATTCCAAAATATAGTGAAAGAGCCCATTGCTGTCCTCCATTCGCGAACTTCAAGTTCCAGTGCTTTACGCCCTGGGCTACTCGAGAACGGTCCTGAAAGGAGCTGTGCGCAATAGCCTGGTGCCTTCATATGGCGCGGAACAGTCCTGGAACTTTATGACTCAATTGAATGGAGTGAGAGTATCGCGTTCTTGAACAGTTCAGAGCTGCACAACTGCGTGAATGGAGGACAGCAAATGTGTTAATGTCAATTAATGTGATTAAATGTATGGACATATGTTACTGACGAGATATATCTACGTTCAATGGTAAGTTCATTTTTATTGTAAAGAAATATAATTTAAAAGTATTATTGTTATATTGTAGTTCCTCGAAAAAGATCAAAACGTTGAAAAACTATTAAGTATTAAGTTAATTCTATTTGAATTGTATTAATTAAATGCAAATACCAAGAATAACTTAACCATAAGTATCTAATATTTGTGTTATTAATTATTATAACTTATCAATTTTTTTAAAAATGTATTTCTCTTAAGGTGAAAATCGACCGTCGCGCGTTGGTAAAAAAAAGTTGAAAGAATAACTTAACCATAAGTATCTAATATTTGTGTTATTAATTATTATAACTTATCAATTTTTATTAAAAATGTATTTCTCTTAAGGCAAAAATCGACCGTCGCGCGTTGGTCAAAAAATTGTACGAGTACCTAAATATTTATTTCTATAACCACTTTGTAAGTATCTAAACTTTTTCCGTTCGGCGAGTCGATCGTCGTATCAAAAAATTGTACGTGTACCTAAAAACCAATTTCGATGCTATGATTACGTTGTAAAAGAATCTAAACTTTTTTTTCGCAATCGACAGTCCGTCGTGTAAAAAAATTGTACGAGTAACTAAAAATTTTATTTTGCTGCTGTAACCACGTTGTGGAACTTTTTGTACTTATATATTTATGTGTGTATATGGTTATTTCGCATCTAAAAACGTTGCGAATTTTCAAGAGCAATTTTGTTTTTCTTTTCTTTATGGGGAACATGTTTGTGGCTCTGAAAAGAGCCGATTTGTTTATTCCTGGAGTATGTCGCTAGTTAGATAAATTACTTGGAACCGGTGTAATTAGTTACGGGTTTGGTACCTTCACTAATGGCGTGCATAGCCAATTCACTAGGTAAAAAAGCAACGTCACTAAAGTCTTAAGTTCTATAAGAATTTAATAGCATTTATTGACAACGTAAAAGAAAACCTACAAGTTATATTGAGTTTTCCCTACATTAAATTTTACACGTTTTAAGCAAAATTAAAATGGTACTAGGTACAACCATATTAGGTCTCTGACCTAAATTTTGTTAACTCATATATTATTGGGAATATCCAAATAATTTTCAATAATATTGGAAAACTAGTTTATTTAACAGCATATAACTATGTACATATTTCTTTATATATTTTCTTTATTCTTAGGATCATGTTTAGGAAAAGGAGTACCAGAGAGCTTTGACCTGGGTAATAAATATATTTCAATAAGTATTGTTCTATTTTTTTGTCTACTCTCAGTCTACTATTGTTAACTCGTTACTGATTTCTCTGCTTAATCTCTAAACTACACACATTACATACCTTTTTCTCTATTACTCGTATTGTTTATACAATAACTTGTTTCCATTAACTCTGCATTTTACAGTGTATTTTATTTATACCATTATCATCATGTTATGTAAAGAGTATGGTCATTTTAAAAGTGATTCTATTTTGCATGGATTTTTTTAATAATATTCACATTATTACAATTTATTGTTCTACAGTCTGCATGATTAATGCTGTCTTGGTCTTGATCTTTCACAAAAAGCAAGATTAAAACCAAGCCCAAAACTAGCGTAACATCTGCAAGTCAAGATCAAAACGAACAGCATGCAAAATTCTCGCGGTCGTGCATTTTTTACGTTTATAGATAATAATTAAAAAAATAACAAAATTTTTATTTACTCAGCTCTTCCCCTAAAATTTATTATCAAAAAATTAATTAAAAAAAAATCCGGAACTATTGATTGCCAACGTATATGTATGTATGTGATTTATAGTAGCCATCAACAATAAGAAATGTTCTTATATTGCCGTATAAGTTTTAGAACTAATATTTTTTTAGACCATTCAAATAATTAAATGTCTTATTTAATTACTAATTATTATTAAATAGTTCACTGCAAAAGCTCACTGAAAATAGTTATTTCCCAATTTTGGCATAACATTTTAGGGAGCAATCAGTGGCGTAGCGTGGGTAGGGGCGCCCAGGGCGCAGAGACTCTACAGAAGAGAGGTTTGCCGCCCCTACAGTATCCGTCTACCGCGTTTGTAACCATTTTTTGCCACCCTGTTTGTATTTGGAGGGCCCCCCTCCGCCACCGCCTTGCTACGCCACTGGGAGCAATGCTGATTCTATATACAGTGTCTTCCTCAATGACATGCTAATATTTAAGAGGGTGATTCCTGGACCTATTCTAAGAAAAAAATATATAGTGTCATAATAATATAGTATCATATAGTGTTAGTGTCCTAAACGTCCTAACTATTGAGATACAGAATCGTAAAATTTTCTAAAAATAAACTTATTTTCATAATAACTCTGATGTTATTATAGATATTTTTACGAATTGTAATACACATCTTTTATACATAAAAATGCCTATTTTGATCTACAAAATAAATGAAATTTTAATCAGTGGCGTCGATACGTGTTTTGCATTGAATATTTTTGAAGGAAAAAATGGCACGCTACCGACTTCTCTTAGAATAAAAATTATTTTCAAAAATCTTTATTTATTTCTAAACAATTTACTGTTCTTAATTTTTTTTATTCGCCGCATAGTTTTTGCTTAAACAAATAAAAGTAATGTTATTCCAGGGTCAAATCAGTCAGGGTTTCTGCATCGGCTGGATGGAAATTAAGAGATACAACACAGACACAACACGTTTTTTTTGTACCCCAAAAAACAATTTTTAAGCATAGAAGACATGTATGAAATTTCATAAAGATAACTGTAAACTTTAGTTACTTTTATGGACTCGTAACTACTAGTTACTTTTGGTAATAGGACTCGTTACTTTGGGCTCGTTACTTTAGTTACTCGTTACTTGGTACTTAGTATCGTTACTTTATAATCGTTGTTTTGTGTATAGGTTGGAAGACTTGGGCTTGAAGTGGAACTTCGTTACCTATTGTGCGCGGCGATCTTCGTTGCATGCTCGGTTTAACCTATAAGGGTTTTCTACTTTCTTCTAGTGTAAGGGCTTAATAGGATAATTTCAATACTCGGTATTCAAGTACTTAATAATATGTTTTTAATAATATGTATAATATTTTTATAATGATATGTTAAATAAAACTATGTACTATTAATAAAATTAAAAATAAAAGAAAACAAATCAAACAAAGAAAATATGTGTATAATAAATATAAAGTATTTTTTTATATTTTTTTTCTTATTTTTTTTATTTTTATTTTTTTTTTATTTATTTCATTAAAGAGTGAAAATAAAAAAAATGTATATATTTTTGTTAAAATGTAAAAATATTAAAAAAATGTATATTCCTCTGTGGCGGATTCATCTCTTCAAAAAAGTCCTTTGGATTAACGCCAGCAGTGTTTACTAAAAATTACTATTTTTATTTTGTAGATTTTTTTACAGTGTAAGTGGCGAAATGTCTATTCTCTTTTGAAGAAGAAACATATTTGCTCTGCTTTTTCAGATGTTAACATTTTTTGTGACTAACGTGAATCCATTTTTAATTAATATCTAAGACATGTTAATCTAAATAAACAATTCTATTCCATAAATAAAAAGCGACAACAAACGGCAAAGGGACAGATCGCCTCCGGGTCGGCATGAGCCAATCCCCATAATAATTGTAATAAAAATATCACACATTTGCCATCCAAAACACCGGCCGGCGTCAAGTCAACACTTTAAACATAAACATATTGTTAAGGTCAAGGTGTATTACTGGTTGCATAACCGCCACGGTGCATTGAGGAACCTGGCGAATTCGACAGAAAGTAAAAGAAAATTACAGAATTCTTTAGAAAATTCCAGAAACCATCGCCAGGGGGTATATAAGGCAGGCGCTTTGACAGTTGGCAAGTCTGAAGATAGTCTGAAATCTGAAGTTTGATAATACCGCGAAATACCGTTAGAGTAATAGTAGTTGCATAAATTGTGTTGTAAATAGTATAAGTTGTGTGTACAGAGTGAGACAAATAAATTCGTTAAGTATTTTATCGTGAGTTTAAATAGTGGACCCACGGAATCCGTAACAATATTAATAACAACTAGACCTATGTCGAAGTAAGGAATATTTCAGTATCGAGTTTCGAGTCCTCGGTTTGTGCATTTCCAGGGATTACGATTACTGCCGGCGCAAAAGTAACGAATTAACTTAGTAACGAGTAACGAGTCCTAAATTCAAATAGTAAGCGTTACTTCGAGTCCTCATAAAGTAACTGTTACTTTGTAACGATTACTTAGAATTTTTACATCACTAAAGGTAACTACAATAACATTAGAGTTAAAATGAAAAAACTATTTTTTAGAAAATTTTACCACCCCGTATCTCAAAAGCTAAGATGTTTAAGACATACGTTTTTTTCTTAAAATAAGTCCAAGAATCAATCCCTTAAATACTAGCAAGTCATTAAGCAACACCCTGTATATGTATATTTTGATAAATACAATTTTCATCCGAAAAATATTGTTTCCTTGTGTCATTAGTATTAAAATACTTAAAATGCTATTTATTTAAAGATTTTCTACGTAGAAAGTGTTTCTAGTAAAAATATTAAATAAAAAAAAATATATTATACAAGTGCAAGACTTGCAAGACTCTTGTAGGAAGACCAAGACCATGACTGGCCCCACAGTCTTGATCTTGCACTTTCATATCACTAAAGAAAACAACCTATCAGCTTAATAACGACAATAAAAAATCAGTCCAATCTGAAAATCTATGTTACTCTTACTTTCTAACTTTAATTTAAAATCTATAATTATACATACATAAATAAATAATAGCATGTTAAAGATATATTTTTTTAAATTTATATTGTAGTTCGCCCTGATAGGCCTGGTAAACCCATCCTTCTGCAAAATGCCGATGGAACACCGGATTTGGTGACCTTACGATGGACACCACCAATCAACGATGGTGGATCACCCATATCTGGATACCTAGTAGAACACCGTCGAGTTGGGTCACCCCACTGGGTACGGGCGACACCTCTACCAACACCATATCCGGAAATCACACTTAGTGGTCTAGAACCAGGGTAAAATTTAATCAAAATACTAAATTAGTTGCTTATTATATAGGGTTTCTCAATATTCCGTGGACAAACAACTACTACGTATTTTTGGAAGCAAAATAAATTCATTGGACACAATTTACCACTATACAAAAGTGCTTCGTTTGTCCGTTAAAGTGCATTAAACTTTAAAAAAATAAGCACATTTTTTAAGATATTTGAAGAAAAGGTATTCCGACTTGAAGGAGATTTGGAGTGCTTATGATTTGCTAAGAGCTTTAATATTTGACTTTCACAAAAAAAACAAGAAAAAATACGATAACGGTATAAACCACCCCCACCCCTACATCAATTTTAGTAGAAATATTTTTCAACACCACCGACTACTGATTTTTTTTTTCGTAAAATGGTCCTCCTAGTATTTACCACATTTTTTGTTGCTTGGAAAAAAACCCACATTTTGAGGGATTTTTTTTCAAAGCAGGACTACAAAATATGCAGAAAATTCCAATATTCCGTGGACATTGAACAACTATCTACGTATTTTTTAATCAAAATAGCACACAATTTATTTCTTTACAGAAGTGCTTTTCGTTAGAGGACATGCATGAATCGAGCAACGGCCTAGCTACGTTGAAACACCGGTTCCCATTAGAACACCGAAGTTAAGCGACGTAAGGCGATACTGGTGGATGGTGACCGGTTCGGAACTCTGTATCGTGCAGTTGTTCAAGGGAAAAGTGTAAAATGTATTGATACACACTGCTCATTCACGCCGGTTCGAGGCCGGATGAGATCGGATATCTCGTGAGTAAGAGTCGACATAGACACTTGCCAAGTCGGTAGACCATTGACCATGATATGGCCGAGAACCGCGGTTCGGATTCCGCGTAAACAAAGTAGGCGCCGCGGCCGTCCAGATTTGCCCTGGCAGCAAAAAGGAGACGTTAACTGAAATCTTTACTTTTTACATGCATGAATCCAAAATAAACCCAAACGTTAATTAATTTAAAATTTATTTATTCTTTTAAGTAGTTTTTTTATGAAGCTTATTATTGTCAAATCACATTTGTGATATTAACAGTGATGCATATAGGGGGGTTCAGGGGTGTTTCATAATTAGTTTAAATAATATTGAGAAAAGGCAGAAGAAAGAAAAATATACTAATAAATTATCAAATTAAGTTTATTATATCTGGTTTATTATACACTATTGTCACGGATATATTTTAAAGGGGAGTTAATTTTCTTATATTTATTTTAATCATGCATCTTGACAATATGGTGAATGTGGTGATTTATTATTTTTATTTATAACCTTGAAGATGACACGTTAATAAAATATAACAATACATTTCTTAATACATATTAATTATTTATTTATTTTCTATTTACAAGTAAAGTAAATGTGCGTTAACTTTAAATCACAATTTAACTTCATATTGTTGTATTTTTACCCAAATGTAATATTTTGTAAATAATATCTTTGATCTTGAGGTATTATTCTTCAGGTTATGGAAGGGTAAATGCATCGTGTAAAGACTTCTTATTTATCTAAAATAACGTTAATTAAAGTAATATTAATAATAACCACTTTATATAACTCACTTTTGGTATTTTGTTTACTTCTGTTCAAGTGGAACTATTCATTGCATTTTGTTAGCTGTTTGGTTGCTACAAAGGGAAATAAATCATATTATATTAATTATATTATAAGAAACGATGTACATACCTTTTTAACAATAATACCTTCAATAATTATTATTAATAAATAATCTGATTGTGATTTTTGTTAAGATTAATTAATTTGTGGTTAGAGCAAACGCAAATCGTCAACGCGTCTAACGGTGTTGCCAGTTTCTTGCAGTTTTCTTAAATCATATTACACCTCATTCATATTTAGTCTCTAAATAATTAATTTTAGCATTTAACTTATTTTAATACTTTTATTTATTAATGATCTTAAACCATTATCAAGTGTATCCAATTGTAATTGCATTTAACTTATTATTATTGTTTGATTTATTATTAATTTTCTTTTATTATCGGATTAATCCTGGCAACATTGGTACTTAACTGGTTGCAGAAGTACCTAGGGATTTTATAGCTAAATTTATGTCAGGAGGGGGTTTCCAGATTAAAATTCCAAGCGCCTACCTGTCTGGTGATTTCCTTTCTTTTTAATAAACATGATTTCCTTTCTTTTTAGTAATCACACAATAAAACACAGATTAACAAGACAGACGTTTATTCAGAGTAGGGTAGCTCATCATTTGAAACAATACAATTTAAAATGGTTTATATAATTATTACAATAATATAGGGAAATTAAAATGACTATATTATAAATTAAATATTTGCAACAATTGGTAACACTGGCTACCAGTTAGTGTAACCTAGACTATGTAACAAAACTCTTATAAGGGGTTAGGGGTTCGCTCAAGTCAAAGAAAACTCTTCGAAAAACACTCCGAAAATTCTTTATTCTTGGTATCTAAAATACTATACATTTACTTAGCAGGGGGAAAATTTTATACATATGGTACAATCTTACCTATCAAGCCTTTCTACTAACTTTTAAAAGTACAGTTTTACACTTTATGGCCACGGATAATAAAATGAATACAATAAGAATAGTTGTTTCAGCGTACAGTAGCGAGAGTAAAATGAGAATCGAATTCAAATATGCAAGGCGCAAAAAAAGATTTAAATAAAAAACTGACTCTCCAGGTAGAGCTACGACCAAATAAGATTCCCCACATTGTTATGGCTGCTACAACCGCCCCCTGTCTAAATAAAAGTAGCTTTACTCTTTTAGGCTAGACACATCCGAGTTATAAGGCTTCAAATGAGACACGTGGAACATACCTCTCTCTTCGTCGGTATTTTCCATAATTAAAATATAAGTTGACAGGCCTACCTTCTTTTTAATACGATATGGACCCTCAAAAAGAAGAAGAAACTTCTTGGTTTTTGATGATAGGGCTGAAGAAACGGGGTTCGCTTTAAGCAACACCAGATCTCCAGTAGCAAATTCTTTATAATGTCGACCAGGGTGTAATATCTTCCGACGTTCAGCGCGGCTTTGTAAGATCTCTTTAGCTAAAATAAGTTTCTTTTCATAACTAAGCACCTTAGGACTATCAGGATAATCGACCAGTTCTCGTGTAAAAGAGGTAAGCGGTTCCTTGAAATGTAATTCGGAAGGTGTAAAGCCTGTGGATTCATGCACCACAGAATTAAAAAACTGACCAAATTTCCGTACATGTTTAGCCCAGGCCGTATGTTGCTCAAAGCAATATGTTCTAAAGAGACGACCTAATTCGCGCATGTATCTTTCAACCGGGTTTGACTGAGGGTGTCTTACCGAACAATGAACAACTTTAATTCCAAGAGGTTGTAAAGTATGTGACCAGGATTTTGACGTAAACTGCGAACCATGATCAGTTAATATCCTTTCAGGCTTACCCATTTTTTTAAAATAATCTAATATTAAACGGTTTAAAATAGCTCTGGTAGTGGCCTTTTTTAAAGGGTATAATGTCACATATTTCGTAAATAAGTCGACAATCACACATAAGAATGTAACGCCCCCTGTAGACTGGGGTAACGGTCCGTATAAATCCAGACTAATAATTTCATTTTTTTTCTCGGATATTACAGGAGAAAGAGGAGCTTTTGGTAATAAACTCAATTTTGCCTTTTGGCAAATGTCACACGCTTTTAAGCATTTTTTGATATCACGAAACATGCCTTTCCACCAGAAATCATTTTTTAAAATACTCCATGTTTTAAAAATTCCAAAATGACCTAAAGAAACATGATAATCATAAATAATTTTATTTTTAAATTCTGATGGAATGCACAAACGGTAGGATTCATCGTCTGATTCTCTTACAAAAAGCAATTGATTTTTAAGAACAAATTTATTTATCTTTTCATCAAGTTGTTGATTCTCTAAACTTTTATAAATTGGCCCAAAATAACTATCGTTTTTTTGCGCGGCAGGTAGTTTTTTTAATAACGTGTTCAGCTTATCAGGAAACTTGATCGACGAGGAAAACACTTTAAAACACTTCTCACCCGGAACCGAATAACGAATACCAGGGTTTCTCGATAGTATGTCGGCTATTTTATTTTCCGAACCCTTAACGAAAGATATTTTAAAATCATACTCTTGCAGAGCTAAAGCCCACCGAGTTACCCGAGGCGTGAGTAACCGACACGTTTGAATATAACATAAAGCTCGGTTATCGGTTAGCACTTCGAAATGACGTCCTAATAAATAAATTCGCCACTTCTTTAACGCAAATACAAGAGCCAAGATTTCTTTTTCGTTGGATGTGTAATTTCTTTCCCGATCAAGTAAAAGTCTACTAGCGTACGCTATTACTCGTCGTTCTCCCTCTATCCTTTGAAACAGTTGAGCGGCTATTGCGTAATCACTAGCATCAGATTGTACGTAATAAGTGGCAGTATTGTCGGGGTGGTATAGTAGTGTAGCATTCTTTAGTAACCGTTTTAACTCATCGAAAGCCCTGTCCTGTTCAGTATTCCAAACCCACTTATTTTTTGTTCTTAATAATTTACTTAAAGGTTCTGTTACGCCCGAAAAATTCTCACAAAACCCTCGATCGTAATTACATAGTCCCAAAAATGACTGAATATCTTTTTTATTTTTCGGTTTTGGATAATCCTGAACGCATTGAATTCTTTCAGGATCGGGTTCTATATTATTTGTGCTTACAATGTAACCCAAATAATTTAATTTTTCTGGCATAAATTGACACTTTCGAAATTTAACTGTCAACCCAGCTTCGTTTAGACGGGAAAAAACTTGATCCAAATGATTTAAATGGTCTTCAAAATTCTTGGAAGCTATCAAAATGTCATCAAGATACGGTATAACAAAGTCATCAAACTCTGAACCCAATATCTCAGAAATGCATCGCGAAAATGAAGAAACAGCGGTAGAAAGTCCGAAAGGTAACACCGTAAATTGATAGCACTTAGTACCAACCAAA